CACACACACACACCACACACATACCACACACACCACACACACTACACACACACACCACACACACTACACACACACACACACCACACACACACACACCACACACACACATCACACACACCACACACACCACACACACACCACACACACACACACACACACACACTCATGGAGGAGTTGGTTTAGCTCAGTACTTCTGAGTGTGATCTGCCAAGTCAACATGCGCCTGTCTTTAGGGAGAATTCGTGAACCTGGAAAGCATTTTACAAATGTGTCTGACCTCAGATTCATTTCTCAGGGAGCGTCTGACACACCAAAGTTCCTTAGATGATGCTTGGAAAATGCATCAAAATGACTCCCTTAGAAAATCTAAACATCTTGTTCTCTTGTTCTCCCTCCTTCCTTCACTTATTCTGCACCACACCATTTCGCACTGATGGTGTTGTGTTTTGTTTTGTATTTCTTTCCTTTTCTAATGCTGGATTTTCTGACTATGGAAAAGCACCACTTTGGACCTTGGTATCGTCCTCCAGCTTTGCTGTCCACTTATTTTGTAGTCAGTAAGCAAAGTAGCAACCTGGACTGGAAAGGATGTGGGCCAAGTTTGAGGATGTGGCTGAATCCCCAGACACACGCAAGGTCCTTTCAGAACCAAGAAGTAAGACCTCAGAACAGGTCTCAGGGCTCTGGATGCCATCATCTGTTGTGCACCCAACCAGCAGGTCCTACGAGCTGCCTCCCTGCAGCCGAGGGGGGCGCCGGCTTCACCTCGCTCAGGACCACAGCATGACTGGCGGCAGCAGCCTCCTCCCCTCGGGTGTCCTCGGGAGGCTTTCTCACGCTGTCCCCTTTGCCTCCAGACTGAAGGCGGGCGCCAAGGATGCCATCGAAGCACTCGGAAGTAAAGAAATCAGGAACATGAAATTCAGGTCAAGCTGGGTGTTTCTTGCAGCCAAAGGCTTTGAACTCCCTTCAGGAATTCAGAGAGAAAAGGTGAGTGCTTTCCAGTGTAAGGGCTGGGATCTGAAAGGCTGCCAGTGGCTGTGGGTAAGCCTGGCCCGGTCCCCTAGGGTTGGTTCTCAGCTGAAGTCTGGAACTCTCAAGTCTCTTTAATAGAAGATTCTGAGAGGGCCCTGGGATCAGCCTCCCACCCCTGCAGCCAGCGGGCAGTTCAGGCTCCTCCCACGGAGGTCAGCCTTGCCCCTGCTGGGGACAGTGATGGCGCTCCCCTCCTGGGGGACAGAGGGGCTTCAGGGGCCAGGCCAGGCGGTCCCACATTCACCAGCCCTTGATCAATACAGCTGTCCTCTCCTGTCCTACCTTGTCACGTGACAGATCTTGCCTTTCCATATGACCCTGTTTATCAGGGAAAAGGGAAGAGCAGAACCAGGCTCTGACTCACTAAGTCTCCTGTGGAAATCCCAGCCGAGGGTGGCTCAGGGCCATTGTTGGAGTCACCTTCAGGACCATAGCACCAGCCCCATACAATGAGTCCTTCCAGCTGTTCCGCAGGTCAGCTTCCAGGTGCGGTTGTTCTGGTGCTCAGAGCTGTTAGTGGCCCTGGGCCGACTCCACTGCTGGAGAGCATAAGGAAGTTTGAAGATGCTTCTGTTCACCCTCTTGGTCTTGTAAGAGGGGAGGAAGCCGAGCCCCACCAACTGAGGACTAGTGAGGGTAGACGATTTCTGTAACTGAGCTGGGGCCTAGACTCGAGGACACGCCCTGCAAGAGACCTACCTCCAGCTGAGCCTTGCAGAGAGCTTCCCCAGCCCCACCCCCCAGCACCCACCCAGGCTCCTCCTCTGGGTCTCTGTCCCCGCCTGCATGCCCAGGACACCCAGGCTCCCTGCAGCGGGCATGCTGGACTTGGTGTCCGGGTTGTTTTGTCCTTTCTTGCCTGGATTATAACATGTTAAAGGCAGGAACCACACTTTTCTTTAAATTTTGTCATCCCCAAAGTCTCAACAATAAAAAAAAAATTATCACTAGATTAGTTTTAAGAAGATATATAGGAGATGGATAGATAGATGGACAGATGTAGCTCTAAGTGAGATTTACCCTGGGGTTACAAAGTTAGTTTAATAACCCCCAAATCCGTCAGTGTACCAAACCACATTAATAGAAGAAAAACCTGACTACCTCAACAGACACTGAAGAGCACCCAACACCCCTTAGTGATAAAAGCACTGAACACACTAAGAATAGAAGGGGACTTTCTTGTATTTCACAGTACATCTATAAAACCCCACAGCTAACATCATGCTTAGGGTGAAAACCAGACAATTTCCCTTCAAGATCAAGCAAAAAAAGAACATCATCATTGCGACCTTTTTCTCCATTGTAGTGAGGAGTCTAGTGAGGACAGATGGAGAAGGCTTGCGCAGTGGTCAGTGCCTGCCCTGTGTGTGCGAGGCCCTGGGTCCCATCCCAGCACTGCCAAAAACAGTAAAAAGTAAAAAGTCATCCACATTGAAAAGAAATCCGACTCTCTCTATCCACAAATGACGCCATTTTATGCATAAAAACAACCTTAAGGAATCCACTAAAAACTATTTAAACTGAGGGAAAAGCTTAGCAAGTTTTTAGACTATGAGATCAATGAAAAATTAACTATATTTCTAATTTTTGCAATGAACAATCAGAAAATGAAGTTCAGAAAATAATTCTATTCAGAGTAGCATTAAATAATAAGACAAAGGAAAAATTTAATGTAGGGGAATAAGACTTGCATACTACAACTAATAAATCACTATTGATGAAAATTAAGAAAAAGAGAAGATAGTCCATGTTCATGGATCAGAAATTTTAATACTGTTTAGAAGTTAGAACTCCCAAAATTGACCTACAGATTTAATGCACTCTCTACTTCAACTGACTTTTCAAAATAGAAATTGAGAAATTTATCCTAAAAATTATATGAAAATTCAAGGAACTCAGATAGCCAAAGTGGTCTTGAGAAAGAAGAATGGAGGTACAGCACTCCCAGGTCCCAGTTCTGAAACACAGGACATGCTGCCGTCATCCATATGGTGTGGTGTCGGCATAAAGCCAGGCACATGGTCAGTGGAGTAGAATTCAGACTCCATAAAATGGGAGTCCTCATGGCTTGACCAGCTGACTTTCAACAAGGACACCAAGGACCATAACTGGTATAGATAAAACCAGCTATCCATGTGTACGGAAATGTGCTTGGGTCCCCACCTCATGTCACATGCAGAATCTAACTCAGAATGTCAGGGCTAGAACTTCAACTCAGGAAAAAAAAAAAACATAGGTGTGAATCTTTGTGACCTTGGTAGGCAGCAGTCTCATGGCAATGACATCACTAACAACAAAGGTCAATGCTTTTCATCCAAACAGAACTTTCCTGCTTCAAGGACACCATAAAGAAAGTAAGAATCAGAGAATTCTCATGGAATTGGAGAAAATATTTGCAAATAATAGAATGTGTTCAGAATATATATATATAAAGAACTCTTGCAGCTCAATATTAAAAAGACCACAAACTTATAAAGTGTACAAATGATCTAAAATGCTTCCTTTTCAAAGAAGGTTACAAAAGTTCATGAATAGCCGTTCAGCAGCGTTAGTGATCAGGGAAATGGGATAAAATCACAATGACATGCCACCTCTCATACCAGGATGGCCACAGCCCTATTATTCCCAGTTTAAAATAAGCTGGTCCGACTCATTGAAGAGAAATTGAGAATCCTCAGGCCTGTCAAATGGTGCAGCCTGGGCTGAGCTGGGGCTCAGTGGTAGAGGGCTTTCCTGGCGTGTGTGAGGCACTGGGTTTGATTCTCAGCACCACATATAAATAAATAAAATAGAGGTCCACTGACAACTAAAAATTTAAAAAAAAAAAAATGGTGCAGCCCTTTGGGGAGCATTCTGGCAGGTCCTGAAAAGTTACACAAGCAGCTCCCACAGGACCCAGCAATCTCACCCGAAGTATGCACCAAAGGCATGAAAACATGCCCTCCTACAAAATCTGCTCTGATGTGAGCACAATAATTTGAGCAAGGAACTCTAAAGTGCCCTGAGAAACACACACAGTGCTGCTCCTGGCTGAAAACTAAGCGTCAGAGCTGTGCTCCCAGCACAGCTGATACCAAGTCAGGTTTGCATTCACATTAAGTGCATTAAAATGGAGCAGAACTTACAATTCATTGTCTTCTCTCAAGCCACACCCCAGGTACTCCAGCTGAGGGTGGCTAGTGGTGACCGTTGAGTAGCATAGGCCACAGAACATTTCCATCTCTGCAAAGTGTCCTCAAGCTGCATTCAGGGTTATCAAGAGGCGTGTAAAGAGGAAATCCAAGAGCCAGCTTGTGCTGGAGCAAATCCCGCTCCAGGAATTGTTTCTGCTCATGTGACTTTGCTCAGTGACAAAGATTAAATATTTGCTGACTAGCTTAGTGAATAAATAAAACACTTATTTATTTTCCTCTCACACAGATCAACCACTCCGATAATTCGAGGAACAGGTATGCTGGCTGGCCGGCAGAGATACAGATAGAAGGCTGCATACCAAAGGACCTGCGGTAGCGTGACATGTTCCCCGGGAATGGCTTTGTGCGGTGGAGGCAGCTGGGCTGGCCTGAGAATCTTATCTCTTTAAGTCTGACAGTCAATCCCTGAAGAATATTTTGCTAGTTGATAAAATCTTGACACACGATGTTTTCACACTGGTGCTTGTGTCCTGAGGCTAGCGATGAACAGGAAGCCGAATGCGTGGGAATTCACGGGGGACCCCAGATGTAACATGGAGAGTGTGGGGAGCACCCTGCACATCTGGTCTGGAGCAGCAGCCCACTCTCCTAGTGCAGCCCATGTGGTCCCCCTAGTCCTGCGGAGAGTCTCTATCCTGCGGTCTCCGAGCATGCCCTGGCTCCCAAGTCATCTCCTGGGAGAATGAGCTATGGTCAGTAGGGTGCAGCCGACATCCTTGGTCACTTCAAGTGGCATTCTTGGGTCTGCCTGTGGGCTGTGGATTTTTTCATTTATTCACTCATTCACCTGGGTGCTGCCTGCCCCTTGGCACTTGGGAGCCCAAGTCTTTGTAGAGGCCTCAGCAAATCAAGGATGGGATGGTGGCCCAGGCCCAGTTATGGGCTGAATGGGTCCCCCTAAATTCATTTGTTGATGTTCTGATGCCCAGTAAATACCTCAGAATGTGACCTTATTTGGAAATGGAATTTTTGTAGCTGTAGTCAAGATGAGGTCATCCTGGAGCCGGGTGGCCCCTCTTCCATATGACTGCTGCCCTTTCAACAAAGGGCAGACCTGGACACAGATGGACACAGGGAGGAGGCCTGGGGAGGATGAAGGCAGAGACCTGGAGAAGCCTCTTCAAGCCGGGAAACACGAAAGGTTTCAGCAACACCAGGAGCTGCGAAGGTGTGGGACGGAAAGCAGCTCACCCCCCGGCTCTGTGTGCTCTTCAACACAGCCAGAGAGCCGCCCTCCCTGGAGTCCCCAGGCCAAGAGCAGTCCTCTGGCTCTGCACCAGCCGTGGCCTCTGAGCATCCTGGGCCCTGGGCGGACTCTGTGGAGGCAGGGCCGTCACTAGTGCCCAGTCTCCAGGGATGTCCAGGAAGTCAGCGCCGTGTGATCGCTGGGAAGCTGCTAAGATCGCTGCGACTTGTGGAGAAGGTGGACAATGGAGACATTGGAGGGCTAAGTGGCCGCCAGGGCAGGGAGGGCTGGACGGGCAGCGCGTGGGGGATTCAGGGGCTGACACCACGTGCATTGGACTATAGGTGGCTCCAGGTCATCACCCAAAGCCTCAGAGTGGACAGCACCGAGAGTGAACCCTAATGCTGAGGCAGACGCTGGGTGACAATGACGTGTCAGCCCAGGCCATCAACTGTCACAGAGTGCCCTCTGGGGTTGGTGGTGGGCCGCTGTGTGTGAGTATTCAGGACAAATTCAGCAATCTGTACCTCCTGCTCCATCCTGTGTGAACCTAAAACTGCTCTTAGCAATAGTGTATTACAAAAACGCGTCCACACAGGAGGACAGCCAGGTGGGCAGAAGCTGAGCCTCCTGGTCGCTTTGCACTTGAGCCTGAACCTATCACCAGCTCCCCAAGGGGGAAGGGTGGGCCCGCTGGGCTTTCCTCAGGAAGTGGGGGGTGGGCTGGGTCCCCTAGGTGCTGACCCTTCCACAGAGAGGACCAGCTCTCTAGAGCAGAAGGCCTGGGATTCCTGATTTCTCGGCATTTTGGCCTTTGCGCCCCTGGGGCTGCTGGCACCACAATCTGCAGCCACATGGAGCTTGCTCTGGATTGAGAAGAGGACCCTCCCTTCAGCTGCCCTTGTCTCTCTCAGCCCTGGAGGCAGGGGCACTGCCAGCCCTGTCCTGCCAACCCCGTAGATGGACACCATGTTTGAGGGCAGCATCCGATGCTCACCCAGGCATCCTCGCTGGGCCTGGGGCTCGCTGTGGGCCCTGCTGGTTACCCTCATGCTGTCCTGTGTCAGGGTCACAAGGACTCAGCCCGCTGCAGCAGGTGAGGCTCAGGGAGGCTGAGATCAGTGTGCCTGGTCTCACAGACGACAGGGAGGAGTGGACTCCACTCCCAAGGGCACAGAGCCCCTGGGCTCTGTGGGACAGGGCAGCTTATGGTTACTCTGTTTCATTAGTCCAGGGAAATGTTTTGTGATCTCTGTTTCCACCATTGAGAAGGCGAATGCAGGATGAGAGGCCTGGGGGAGGGGATGCATCTGCCTTTGGAAGGCTCCAGATGTTTCCTAGTGGCTACAGACAGCTGCACGTGGCTCCAAGCAGTTCCAGTGGCTCCAGACAACTCTAGATAGCTCCAGACAGCTTTTAGATGGCTCCAGGTAGCGGTGGGCTGTCAACACACAGGGGCTGTGACCCTCCCAGGGAGACCAGCAGGCAAGGTAGGAGGCAAGCATTTGTCAAGCTGCATGCTTGACCCTGACCTGTCGCTGAACCAAGAGCTCCTGCCCAGAGGCTATGACCATGTCCCTTCTCTGGGTTTCCAGCTCCTAACTAGGGGAAGGGTGACAGTGGTATGGTATGGACACTCAAGACTTTGAGATCACAAACCTGAGAGACTGTCCCAGACCTTGTCCCTGTCAGCCTATGCAGTCCAACCCAGCAACCACGCACAGCTATGCAAATTAATTTCAATTACATGGAATCCCAACCCACAGTAGCCACACTGCACTGCTCGGCACCTGTGTGGAGCAGACCAGAAAGGTCCAGCACAACACACAGTCACTGCAGCCATTTCCATGGGACCTCCAGCTGGCAGTCACTGGGTCTCCTCCAGGTGCAGCCCCTCCCCTGCCTCCCCTGAGACTCCTTAGCGATGGCGACTCCGGCCCACCCTGACCTGAGGGATCAGACTTGCCAGGTTGAGACAGAGCTCCGGTTGAATTGTGAGAGCACGAGGACAATTCAGCTGTGTTTCTGTGGCCAGACACTTGGCTTCATGCCTCTCACGGGTCGCTGGTGATGGGACTGAGATGGTTCATCACAGCAAAGCAAAGCCTAGCAAGAGAAGGGAGGGCTGGCCTGGTCCCTGACCTGTTCTGAACGTGCTCAGGTGGGAGGCGGGTCCTGCAGGGAGAGCCCTTGGCATCTGAAGTGCAGCAGATGTGCCATCCACATTGTCCCCTGAGCAGCATGGCATGTGCCTGGTAAACGTGGCTGGTGCCAGGAGGCGGGAACCATAAAGATAAGTGCCTGGCGCTTTGGCGGTGGTGGTGGCCACCAGCCAGCCCTGCATGCAACCGGCAGTTTCTAGAGGGAAACGGCTGCATCAGGGCACAGGGTGGCTCCACTCTTCTCTTGGCCACCTAGGCCACTGGATTTGGGGGATAGCTTTGCTCACTATCATGCAGAACCTGGGGCTGGGTGGGGAAGCATTGTGCTGAAAGCTGTCTCTGAGGCTTCGGGTGCCGCTTCTGCAGTATTCTTGGCACAGTGACATGGCCTCGGTGATGGGCGGGACACTGGCTCCAACTCCTGTATGTAAATACTCCCCCCACACCCGGTTCTCAGCCAGCAGGAGCCAGCTCCAGCATGCAGGCTGGGTGCTGAGTCCACTTTGTAACTGGCACTGAGCAGAAAGGAGACGTGGGTTCGTGCTACATGTTCTAAAAACGGTTCTTTCCCATTGCACTGGAATTCTGTCCACAGCCATCTGCCACAGAGGAGGGATGCAAGCCTCTCACTCCCTGCCCTCCATCCACACCCTCTCCTCCTCCCCAGCAACACTCAGGGCTTCCTATCTTAGGATTTCTTTTTAAGGAAATTCTGTGCATATTCTCTGGATGCTCACCCTAGGAAAGAAGCCCCTCTCCAAGGACTAGTGTCTGTTAGATTCACAAGCACATCCCAGGGACCCAGTGCTCAATAAATATTTGTGAATGAGTAGAGGAATAATTACTAGTTCCATAAAAAATAATAAAGAGGCATGAGCCCTGGGAGACGAGGTTGTATTTGCTGTCTGCTGGTGTGGCAGATGTCACTGTGGATGATGCGGGGCTGGAGTGAATGGAGACAGCAGAGCAGCAAAAGATCCCAGTGTCCAGGTGTCCAGGACCCCATGGAGCTCTGGCATTGCTTGCAGCTCAGTTGTGATGGACCTGCCCATGTAGGGGATACAGATGGCCTTAGAGATGGCTGCTGCGCAGGGTGGGTCCTGTCCCTCATGCCCATTTCCACTTTTCTAAATTGTTGTGTTTACTTTCATCCTGACAGATTAAACTTCCAGACTCAGCAGGGGAATGTCCTCTAATGAGAGGTGCTGGGGGACCATGTGTCCTGGAGAGTGCTGGATTCCCATTCCCACACCTGTCCACATGCCCCTGCCTCTCTGTCAAGAATTCTAGGAGAGGCAGACCAAAGGCAGCCTGGGAGGCGGACGGCTCCCCCTGCAGAGTGCCTGGAGTCCCCCCTACTCCTGCGCTCTGGCCACCCCCTTGGTGGTCAGGAGCTCTCTGTATCTCCGCCCTCCAGGGCCTTCCTGCCAGCGACGTGCACAGGGCTTTGGGATTGTAAAGCTGTGGCTCTAAGTATGCAAGGAAATCGCTTCCCCCTGTCGTTTCTGGACTTTTTCCAGCTTTTGGTGGGCCATACATACACGTGGCAAGGCTGAGCTTCCCCAAATCCCTTTGGCTGCCTGGAGACCCCTGGTGGAAGATGGAAGGAAGGGCAGGAGGTACCGGCTGAGCTGGAACTGACCAGGCTTGAGTAATTCAGTCAGACAGGGCTCCCTGGGAGTGGACAGCAGAGCAGGGCCACCGCCCAGCACCACAGGGGCTGCCTGGTGGGGGGAGGTGGCACTCACAAGCATATTTTCTTGCTTCACTTGGTCCCCTCAAAAGTCCTGTGTTGAAGCCCTAACCCCCAGCACCTCAGAAATGGCCTCACGGGAAACAGGATCCTGTGGTGTCTTTAAGGTGAGGCTGGGTTAGAGCAGACTGGCCCCCTAGCCAACACCACAGTGTCCTCCTTAAAAGAGATGTGGACACCCACAGCAAGGGGACACCACACAAGGACAGAGTTGCGCTGCCCAGAAGGCGCCTCAGAAGCTGGAGGGAGGTGTGGGGCAGGTCCTACCCACACCCACAGAGGCAGTGCGACCCTCACACCCTTGATTTTGAACTTCAGCCTCCAAGACTGTGAGAAGAGTTTTGTTCTGAACTAAGTATTTGGGGTACCTTGGTACACAATTGCAGGAGACCTGATAGACCTACATTTTGGCACATACTATACTAAGAGACCTAATCTGTTCCCCCAACTCACTTCTCTTTGGGAAGAGTTGGCATCAATGTCTCCCTGTGTGCAAAGATCTGAAGGCACAGTAATTTAACAAAGTGGTACAAGAGGTGACAGGGGTTTTTCTACTTGGAACATGGGTCTGAGAGCATGGCACCAAAGCACCACTCAGACCCTGTGAGGACACAGGACGTGCTTGGGCCAGTCTACTGCAAGGCAATTTGTGATTTTTCTATTCAGGAGATTGATAGAATCTTAATATGATTTCCTGATATTGTAGAGACAAAATAAGTCAATGGATGCGTTTCTGAGGGCCACTTTTCCTAACAAAGGGAAAGCAGAGGTCTTTTACAAGGAACCTTGTTTTCTCTTCATCCTTCCTGAAAGGCAGGCACCTGGGAGGTGGCTGCAGGGAGCAGAGTGGGTGGGGTGCAGGACACGGACAAGAAAGAAGGGCCCAGGGACACCTAAACAGCAGGGACCTCCTTTTGCCCCCCACTCGAGGGAAGGGCTTTCCAAGAGATCTTCCTTTTAAGAGAACAGCATCCATGTTGACACCTGTTCTTGTTCCACTTCTGATTTATCCAGCAGTACCTCTGTCACACAGGCAGCCGCCTGGTGGCTCTTGACAAGGCTCAGCAGGTGGGCTCCCAACTGCCTTGAAGCCCAAAGCAACTCTCTGCTGCACGCAGGGGGACCCTGGAGTCACTTGGTCCTATTCAAAGGCAGGCCTCTGATTCACCTCCATTCCTCAGGTCTCACTGCTCTTCCATTCTCCACCCTCCCGACCTTTGTGCCCTCCTTGGACGCTGTCCCCTCTTTGGATGCTGTCCCCTCCTTGCTCACCTCTGCCCCACCTCTGACTCCTCCTCTGCACTTAGACAGACCTGGCCGCTGGCCTCATTGGCTCCTTGTCCTGTCTTTAAGTCGAGGCCAGGTGATAACTGAGACAGGACCTTCCCTGAGAGTGCCTCTGTCCCCGCAGGGCAGGGCTTGGTAGAAGAGAAAGAAGGGCAAGCCCCCTCAGGGAGAGCGTGGGGCCTCTGAGAGGAGAGAGACAGCTCCCTTCTCTGCGCCCCAGCTTTTATGGGGGAGGATGGAGAATGGTGAGAGGGTCCTGCCAAAGGTCACCTCTCAGTTCTTGACCGACAGACTACACCAGCTACAAACCTGCGGACAGCTCTTAGCCATCTCGGACTGTCCAATGGGTGCTCATCAGAGAGGGTTTTATTTATTTTTTATTGGTTGTTCAAAACATTACAAAGCTCTTGACATACCATATTTCATACATTAGATTCAAGTG